GCCAGGTTTACACTCCACTTTTGCCCGAAGTCCCCATGCCACTGGGGCCTTAAAGAAATTAAGTTTTACACTCAGGCTCTTCCTGTTCTGGAAATCACCACTTAAATCGTTGGCTAGAAAATAGCAAATAGTCATCCACTTGGCTCCCTAATGAAATTATGTCCAGGTAAGGAGGCTTTATTTCCCCCTTGATGTCTGACTCTCCCCAGAGGGAGATCTTTGACATCAAATACAAGGCTAGAGTAACACCGTTCTTCAATCACTTGGCCTTGGGGTATTTTAACAAACTAAATAGCTTTAGGTTCAGACGAAAGATAAAGTGAGTGACAGCCGAGCAAATGAAGAATTCCTTTCCTCATTTTTTTAAACCTTTTTAGCATATTGGCTGAAGGTTGGGGCTATGGGCAGAATCCTGGCCCTACCATTATTAGTGGTGTGACTTGGACATATGACTCAATAACTTTGGATTTCAACAGTGTAACGGAAGGAAGGCACCACCTTCATCACCACCTGCAACATAGCGGCTGCTGTGGGGTGCACTTAGCACAGCCTCAGCCCCTGTGAATGCTCAGTAAATAGGAGGAGGATATTCAAGTCCTGTTGAAATCTTCGAATCACTTCCTGCTCTCCCATGCTATCACACTGTCACCTCCAGCCAACAGTGGTCTTCAAAATCCTGGAATTTTCATTGTTTAGCTTTGGGAACTTGTTTTATCCTATTTTGTCCTTTGAAGGAGCATGTGGTAAGACCTCTCTAATATTTCTTCTACCTGTAGAGTAAAATGATCACGACCTGGTCTTGATGAGAGAGTCTTAAAGTCAGAGCTTTGCAGAGGGATGGAACACCCTGCTCTCATCAATTAGCGAGGAGCTCCTCCTGGCTTGTGTGTGTGCGTGCGTGCGCGTGTGTGGTCTATGCACCACAGAACCCTTGGCAGCCGGTGATGCCCGTGAACCCCTCTCCAAATAAGGTTTTTTAAATGCAAAAAAAAAAAAAAGCATAGGATTACAAAAGAAACCAATCGAAATAAAATCATGAAAAATGTTTTAAAACAAATTGGTGTTATAATCATGTATGTACATCCTTATTAATGTATTCAACAACAAGATCCAGTGACTGGTTTAATAATTACTATAATTTCAAATTAATGAAAATGTAAATGATATATGGAGATAGTTTCAAAATCTCTAATGTGAAATAAAAGTATCTGTGATTCCACTGGTGACAGTCGCAGGTACTGATAATACTACTGCAGCTTTCTTTTCTGTCTTCGTCATTGAAAAAATGCTAAATGTCAGGTGGAGATTAGTAAAAAATAAAAAAATTACACTTTTTTTCCCCTCTCCTCCTTGAATTCTATCCATGAATCCAAGGTTAAGAACTCCTGAGTTAAGCCAAGACTAACATTATCCAAGATGTCTCACTTTGATGATGGGGACATAGTCATACATCATTTTCAGATAAACTTGCCTATTGTCCTGAGGAGGACACAGGACTTTGCACCACACTTTGCTTTCCAACATGGAAATACTACTGAGTGAAGGCACCCAGTCATTATTATCTGTGGAGATTTGTGAGCAGCTGCTCTGAAATCAAGGCTGGAAAATTAAGGATTCAGATGGGTTTTTGCCATTTGCGCCACCCATCTGTCATGGTGGTGATAAATGAGTGTGGAGGCTGACATCTATTCCTAACATCCATTCCCGTCCACCGGCCAACATTCCACACTTTGTAAGTGTAACCATCCTTTGCCCTTTCGTGGGCCATGCCCCTGGCCACGCCTGGTCTTGTTCACTTACCAGAAAGGGACTGAGAGTTGGAGATACATAGCCTTGAAGAAAACATTCTCCCTCCTCCTGGGTATCCCAAAGCCTTTCAGGCCCTGGACCTCATTCTGAATCTGGTTGGGATTCTCATCCCAATACTGCTCCACCTGTTGCCCTTTCTAGCTTTCGTCTACCTTTCTGAGTCTTTTTGCAAGATGAGATCTCCCTCTGAGGTTGGCAGTATAGAAACTCATGGGCTAAAATGAATTCTTCCCCTGGAGGAGACTGTAAAAAAAACAGTGGTTAAAAGATACACACTACTATATATAAAATGGAGAAACAACAATGACCTACTGTATCACACCGAGAACTATATTCAATATCTTGTTATAACCTATAATGGAAAAGAATCTGAAAAAAAATATATAAAACTGAATCACTTTGCTGTACACCTGAATCATTGTGAAACTATACATTTAAAGAAATTCAAACAAATAAAAGAGCAGTCAAACCAGCTGGGGTTGGACTCCTGCTACAATACTACCAGCTGTGTGACCTGGCATGTCACCTAACCTTCTATGCCTCAGTTTCCTTCTAAGAAAAAAATGGGAACCACACTTTCTGGCAGGGCAGTTGTGAGGACTGAGTGCTTTAAAGCCTTGTGAGCTTGAAAGTGCTTGGCACATAATAAGCACTGAATAAACATTAGTAGTTATTACTTGTCCGCCCTTGGCTGATTCTAGCCTGTTGCTGTCACCCTCAGCAAAGTTCTCCAAGTCCAGCCTTTGCATGTTCTCTCACATTCTGTGCTCCTGAGCCACTGACTCAAGTGACAACTGAGGGCTCTTTTTAATCTTCCGAAGGCTGAGCTAGAGAGATCAAGAAAGAATCTGCAAGTTACATAATAAAATAATATTAAAAATAATATCTGACATTTGCTGGAAACTTCCTGCTATGCCAGATACTTCTTGTACATCTTATTTACTCCCCCCAACAACCTCTTAAGTCTGTACTGTTATTTATATTTATGGTTGATGAATCAGGCTCAGGGGGATTAATCACTTGCTGTCCAAGGTCACAGAGTTCCTTTCCCTGAATTGAGGGCCATCTCTGTCTAGCCAGAGACTGTTCTCCTAAGGACATGAGGTGGCCACAGAGAAGCATCTGGGGGGAGTAGCAGACAGCTACTCTTTGCTGAGTTATCAGTTTTCCTCTGAAACCTCTCTCTGGTTCCCTGTAGTCGGCCACGGTGAAGGAGACTTGGCTTAGAGGTGGCCCTCTGGCAGTGGCTCATACAGCTTTTGTGAAGTCACATGTGGTCCTGGAGTTGCCAGGAAAAAGGATGACTTGATGAGCCAAAATGCAAATTCCTTAGGAGAGGAAAAGTGAAAGTGAGCTTGTTCACACTGTGCAGGGCTCCAAGGAAATGACACAATGCGAGAGACATAGTTTCCTGCCACTAGACTCCATCTTATTAGGGGAGCATTATTCTGCATTTGATCATGAACTTGCCTCCCAACAGTTTGCTTCTTTGACCAGAGGCAGAGGTGACCTAAAGTAAAAAGAAGTTGACATTTGAAATCCAAAAGCTGGTTGCCTCCAGACATTTAAAATGTAATCTTCTGGGAAGCTGGGGCAAGGGTGGGCAGTGGGGGTGGGGAGAGAGTGGCATGTTTTCCTCACCATTCTCCAGAGTTCCCTTTGTCCCGGAGATAAGTTGCTCAAAGCAGGTCAAGGCCAGCAGAAGGGAATCTGGGGAAGCTGACCCAGTTTATTCACATCCGAAAGGATTTCTAGGGCCTTCACGGGGGTTTCCAAAAACACTTCTTTGGCTATTTGCTTTTTCCTCTTCTTTCTCTAGCTCTCTTCTTGTTTTCTTTCTCCTTCCTGGTCTTGTCTCTCCCTGGTCTGCCCATTTTTCTAGCTCACAGAGGCTTCCCTGGTGGCCCTGAATGCCTTCGGGAAGACAAATTTTCCTCTAGCCAAGCCCAGCACTGAGTCACCTGGGTTTTGAATGCTCTTTTTGCCAGTAAATTCTTGCCCTTCTTTTTGCCTCTCCCAGACCTTCTAAGTTACATTTACAACCAAAGACTCTTCTGGCTAAGGGGTCTGGCACTTGCTGACATCTTAGCCCAGCACAATTAATACTGTTGTTTATGGAATACTGTCTCAAAATGTTTACTGAAGGCTATTTCAAGACAGATTTTTTTAAAGACTATTTAAAAGCCTTTTCGAAAAACTATTTGAAGTTTGATAAGACCCAAAGGTTTCAAATTTCTGAATGAAACCCATCCAATCTGATGCAAGCCTTATTTGGAATCTTAAGGTGAGAAGCCCTGATAAATTCAAACCAGATCAACTGCTAATCTTCAGACCAGAGGAGGCAGATTGTGGCCCTCCCTCAAATGAGGGGAGCTGACTTGTCTATTGCTAAGCCCAACCAGAAAAGTACTCAGGTTTAAGTACCAGAAGTCCACACAGGCAACTGCTTGAAGAAGGTGGCCCAGCCAAACAATTCAAGGAAGAGGCAAGATTCCATCTTGGGTCTATGGTAGTGATTCCTTCCTTCCACAAAGGGGACATTGAAGCTCCCAACCACCACCACCCCCCAACTCCCACCACGCCCAAGCACACCTGTTCCCAACATAGTCTCAATTCTGGCTCAGGCTTTCTCATATCCTCTGTGGGGCTTGTTAGACACAAATGGCTGGGCCTCACTCCCAGAGTTCCTGATTCGGTAGGTCTAGGATGAGGGTCTAAGAATTGGTGTGTCTAACAAGCTCCCCGGTGGTGCTCAGGCTGCTGGTCCAGGGACCACACTTTGGGAACCACTAGTATAGCTGATGGGCAGGCTCTGGAATCAGATATCCTGGGTTCAAAGACTGGCCCCATCACTCATACACCAGGGACTCTTGAGCAAGTCGCCCTCTCTGTTGCCTCAGCTTCCTCATCTGTTTAAAAGAAAATAAGGATAGAAAGTGCATACGTTTCCCGATGTTGTTCTGAGGAGCAGATGAGATAATGCATGGGAAACAAAGCCTGGTGCAGGCAAGTGCTGGCTAATTCCAGTTGTGGTTGATGTTATTTCTCCAAACACACCAGCATTGCACAGCTGCTCTCTGGTGGGTGCCTTCCTGATGAACCTGCCATGCAGAGGTCCTCCGGGTGTCCCTGGGTGCCAGCAGTTTGCGGGGCTTTAGGAGGCTGGACCGCCAGGCCCTCTCCCAACGCCATCAGTCCTGAAGGTGCCAGCACACTGCACTTTCTCCAACTTGGAAATTAGCATCCCGCCTTCTTGCTACCGAGTCCCACAGTGGACTAGGCACTGATCTCTTGTGCTCTGTGACTGGGAAAGAAAGAAAAACGAACAAGAAGAATCCTGCCTGCTATCTCAAGCACTAAATTTTATATTGGTTGAAATTAGCTGCATGAATTTGATTCCCCAAACCACCTGGGTTTCCAGAGCCCCAACAGATTCTTGATGCTTTGTACACTTTCCTCTGTTCTCCCTTATCATCTTGAAATTAATTTAAAAACAAGCAAACAAAAACAAATCAAGGAAAAGTCAGAAGAGCTCAGTTGCTAGACTTGCTTTTTGTTTTTATTATCAACAATCAAGTTAATGGTACACTCTTGGAAAACTATATGCACATGTAGAAATATTTCCCTCTTAAATAGAAGCATTCATTGTAACACATATAAATAAATTCAAAAATCTGAAACATAACTTATGACGCTTATGTTCACGAACGTAGTCCAACAAGAACTAAAAAGAAATCAGACAGACATGCACCTGATAACAAAAATATATACCATTGTTTGAACCGTGGTCTTTCTAAACACAGAGGAATTGAACCCGTGAGAACCTTATTATTCCATAAAGACACGCCATAGAGACTACAAGAAGAGAAAAACATCATACGGTCACGTAGAGGAGACGGTCTGTACTGATATTAACACGATACAATTGAGTCACAGAACACAGTTGTAGAAAGACACCAAAAAAGTTAAAGCCTCAACATTCAACTAATATCTATAGTTTGTGCCTTTTAAAATAAAAAATAAACAAACAAAAAATCCCAACAAAGGTGTCTAAACTGCGCAAAGAATGGAATCATCAATATACAGTCCATCCACCATACAGGATGTGAGTCCATTTCGGATCAAACAGAAATGCAGAGACACAAACTTGTGTGCGCGCCTTTTCCTTGCTGGGTAGATCTCTGCAGCCAGTTGCTTGGACTGCAGTTGACTCCAATCCAAAGCAGTGCCAGAAAGTTCAGTAAAAGCTGGTGGAAGAAAATGCCGGTGGGGGTGTCAGGAGAGAAAAAAAGGGAAGAGTTGCGAAATACATGACAGTTTGCAGAGTTTGCGGATGAAAGGCATCTCATGTATAGGGCATCTTTCAGGGCCGAGTGGCTGCACACATTCGGGCTGAGAGTTGCAATGCTGTGGGGTTCGGATGCGCAGCTGGCAGAATGGTGTTCGACGAAGTGGGGCAGGCAAGAGGGCTCGAGAAGTCACCTTGGCCGCGGGAACAGTACGCATGAGTCGTCGCCGCAGCGGCCCGAACCCAAGGACGAGAGGGAAAGGGGGGCTGGAAAGCGTCCCTTCTCTTCCCCGAGGAGGAGCCCCAAGGGAGTCTGTGCTGTCTGGACGGTGCGGATGAATTCAGGGGTTCACAAGCTAGAGCCCTCAGACAGTGCCAACTGCAGCTTCCCTCTTCCTCTCTTTAGTTTATTTTTTCCTAGATTGTAAGACCTTTCGGGTATTTTTAAATTGTTACTTCCTTCCTATATATATATATTTAATTTGGGAGAGCTTTGTTCCTTTTTCTAAGCAAGTCACTGAGTTGGTTGTGGCCCCCCATCCCTGTCTCCCTGTCACCTGCTCGGGCCACAGACACACATTCCCCGAGACGGACGTACACCGACACGCAGACACAGCCCCCTGAGAGCGCCCCCGAGTCCAGGCCGCGCCGCTCACACCTCCCAGGCAGCAGGCGGAGCCCTGGCCCGTCTGCGCGGCCCTGAGGCAGGTGCGAAGCCAGGGAAGTGTTTCGTTTCGTTTGGAGGTTGAGGAAGAGGGTAGGAGTGGGGTTGAAATGGGGGCGACGCCCTTTTCTCTTTATTCTTACCGCGATCACGTTAGGCTCTCGAGGAAACAGCCACGGCAGCAGCGACAATAGCCTTGGGCCTACCCGCTCGCCC